TGCCTCCCTGTATGTTGCCTACCACCTTGACTGCTGCCTGGCTCAGGAAGTTAGTAATCCAGGCTTGGTGGAAAACTCCTTTAAGAAAGTAAGGCTGCCGAAACCAGTTTGGCTCAGTGGATAGAGCGTCAGCCTGCGGACTGAAGGGTCCCAGGTTCAATTCCGGTCGAGGGCATGTACCTGGGTTGTGGGCACATCCCCAGTGGGAGATGTGCAGGAGGCAGCTGATCGATGTTTCTCTCTCATCGATGTTTCTAACTCTCTATCGCTCTCCCTTCCTCTCTGTGAAAAATCCCCTTCCATCTGCCACACTCCCTACCTGACCCACTCACTTATGTCCCTTTCCTGCCTGGTCCCACAGGCTTAGGATTTAGGCATTATCTAACCCAGCCCTCTTTTAATAAGCTACACTGCCATTGCACTATGAGTCAATGGTAGGAACTTCACTGAGGATGCAGGGAGTATTAAATGGTTGCTCATAACACATTTGATGGGAAAACAACCCATTTGATGTTCTTTGGAGCCATCCATGTTTTATCTTCAGTAAACAAAAATAAGACTAAGTGTGCATTGGGTCATATGGAAGTAATTTATGGATGTGAATTAGACAGAATCATCAGATTCTTAAATCCAACCACCTGGAGGAGATGCTTATTGATAAGTAGACACTATTGCAGCCAACTCATATTTGCATCACAGATACTCTTCTTACAATAGATAGTCCACTGAAGATTTACGAAAGCACTCATAATTTAAATCAAATGTGCCTTTGTTTTAAAAATAGAATTGCCGATTTTGTGGGCATCAGCTATTCCCATTTTTGTGTGTTCTCCTTTTAGTAGAAAATAATGCTTCCAGTTCAAGATTTTGATTTACCACATTAGATTGGCTAGTCCTATTTAATACTTCAACTCCCTTCTTTGTCGTGGTTGTGTTATACAAAATAATACTTATTTGAGGGACTAGTTCATCAGGGAGAGAAATGGAAATTGACATAGGCAGCAGCCCTATGTTTGGGTAGGAGCTTCTGCTGCTGTGCAGACACGTTTGCAGCGCTCATCTGGAGGAGGCCTGGGAGAGGATGTGAGTGGCCACCCAGGCAGGGTGCCCTGTGGAGTGGCCCAGCAGCCCCGACAAGTCCCTCAGCAATTTCTCTCCCTCTTGTTCCTCCAGACAGTCCCATCAGTGCTCCAGGCTCCCTTTGCTCTAGGCCCCACACTATTGTCTACCCTTTCCTTGATTCCCAAGCTCTCAGGGAAGGTCTAAACACCCACCTCCATTAGCACTGTAAGAGGTACAGACATGCTCTTTGGAATCACTATTTTCCCTAGTCCCATCTCAGACTGTCACTACACCCTGGAGGGGACTCCCACGCCAGCAAGCAGAGTGAGCTAACATCTCTACACTCATGCTGGCCTGTACAAGCACTTGGTACATCATAGAAGCCAGTTAAAACTGTTTGTGCTGTCTTTTCCATGTCTGCAAAATAAGATTGGCAGCTCTTCCATAGCTCCTAAGGCTCTGGTAAAAATTTCTCTGTGCCCCTGGAAAAGCAGTCCATTAAAATTAAAACAGACATTAATGATGCTTCAGAGAGGGGACTCTTAGTGGACCCTGTGTGGTGGCTATTTCTCTGACTTGTACATACCCCAGGAGAACTTTCAGTGTGCCCCTTCCAGGAAAACATGGGCCACAGTGCCTGGAGGTTGAGGAAGGAACTTTGACTATCAGCCTCAGCTTTGCCAAGCACAGGGCAGGAAAGACACCACTGACAGCCACACTATCAAGGACACGTTTTATTTTTTTAAATGGACAAGCTCAGAATTTGAGTTTGTCAACATCAGACCGGTAGCCCATGTTCCTGGGTCATTTATAAACCTGTTCTTTTAGGAATTATCTCTTATATCTACATTCAAATACTCAGGCACCTTCTGAAGCTTTCAATCCTTTTGACCATTAACATTGCAATGGAAATTGAAGAAGTTTTTATGTAAAAAACATGTTTTATATGTCCATAGAGAACTAGTATGGAGGAATATCTGAGAAACTGCAGGAAACACACAAAATAGATCTGCTCATTTTGTTTTAAATTATATGTTTTTGGTAAGAATTAAAAACATAATCTGACTAAAGAAAAGCCGTATTAAAAACTATACAGAAGATCTCTCTTTTCTTCAGAATGGCTTCTCCACACTCTTCCACTCGGCATACACACTTGGCTCTTGTCTTCCTTCCAGAGGTATCCTCCCAGCTGGGAATTGTCCTGCCCTCCCAGTGGGCCTCAGGACCTGTTCTGTCATGTCTTCCAACATCACAAGTGGAAATCAAACAGGCAATAGTTATATCAGAGGCACTTCATTGGTAACTGCTCCTCATCTGGATTCCTGTTGTGCCTATATTTCCAGAATGTAATTCACCCCAGGGTATACTTAACTCAGACTGTGTGAACAAGTTACATACATTTCTCAGAAAAAAAAAATAAGTTATATTTTCAAGAAAAATCCTACCACCAAAATAAACAAACCTTTCCTATCTTCTAAGAGCAAAGCTCTTGAATTTCTTGATGCTCACAGCTGCGAGAAGCATGACTCATTTTTTTTAATATCACATATAGAACCCACCCGATAGCCAAAGACATAGACCAGGGTATGGTAGAGTTTTCTAGCCAAGATGTGATGCAGTAGTAACTGCTGAGAGTTCAATAGTAGCAGCAGTCATTTTTAATTTATGTCTTTATCTGTATAATGGATCGTGTGTAGCCTGGGGCAGAGGGGAAAAGAAGTCTGGGTGAGTCCAGTTGATGCTTTCAGTTAACTTCAAGGCTGATTTACAGTTCAATTAAACGTGGGTGGCCGTACATGTCTCTGTCAGATACAGGTCCAAAGCATTGTTCTCACTAATATCTGTAATATACATTTGCTCATTGCTGGACTCTCTGGTGAATACTTTTTGTTCTAAATGGTTAGAAATGTCATTCTATATGGAATTTTAGTTTCAGTTAATAAGCCTTAATGTGACTATATTCTAAAACATATATTATTGCATATCCATTCAAAACTTCACAAGATTTTTTCCCCACTATTTTAGAAAGACTCTTGCTAAAGTAAAAGAAAAGAAGAAAGAAGAACAGGACATGATTTGATATCCTGGGGCACATTTTTGGGGTGAACCTTACAGGCATCATTGAAGCTAAGGGATAAAATAGAATAATTCCTATTTAATCATCAAATCTAAATTTAATAGTGAGGTTGTAATATAACCACCTGAAGAATTTGAATATTAGCTATTTGTGAGGCGAACGTGATAACCACTACACTACGGAAACAACTGAATATTAGCTATTTGTAATGACTATTTAAGAATACTGATATTTATATATAAATCATATCTTATTATTTTTCTTTGTCTATCAGTATATGAGACAAGGAATGCTATTTTTCCCAATCAATTTTAAATTCTAGAAATTTTTAAGAAAAACAAAGAATAATCATTTCTGAAGTTCTGAGTTTCCATTTAGTATAAATACTACACTAGAAAGATGCAAATTGACCATATCTTCATGACGCCCACCAGCCAGTCAGGTGTTAGTATGCAAATTAACCCAACAAAGATGGCAAGTTAATTTGCATATGCAGGCACCAAGCGGCCAGGGGCAGGGCAGGACACTTGCGCTGTTGCCATGGTGGCAACGCAGGCATTCCGCACCATCCCAGGAGCTCCAGGCCTCTGGGCAGTGTGGGAAGGCAGAAAGGCGGCTCTGGGCCGGAGGAAAGGCAGTGCTGGCAGCCAGGGGAAGGAAGGCCCATTCTTGCACAGAGCTTCGTGCGTTGGGCCTCTAGTTTAGTTTGATATAAATCAGTTCTATTTTTATCAATTCTGTGCACATCTGTACATTCCAATAAAATAAAGGATGCTTTCACTTCATGGGAGAAACTAATTGAGTGTTTATACTAAAACGTTTATATAAACTGCAGGAGCAGCCACTAAAAGTGAAAATATCCACATGTGTGAATTCTAACATGAGGGTACACAAAATTATACTTGTAGAAATGAGGCTTGTATTGAGAAGTGGATCCCAGAGTGCAGGAATATTAGCTGACCTTGACCATAACTAAGTTTTACTGGTTATTTCCTAAACAAAGACTCTTGACTGTTTAGTAAACAAACATTTTCTTTATTCATTGCACAAAATTTGGTCAAGGTATTGCACAAAGAATAAATGTTTTTGTTAGAATGTGTTAAAAGTTTCACTTCTAAGCTTGGCATTTATGGATTGGGTCACACAGGGCAAACTCCCTGTCCTTTGCAAGGGTATGGAGTTGGAAATGACCTTAAGGATCAAACTCTACGGACCATCTTTTGCATTTGATAGTTTAGTTGTATTTTTGCTTTTAGATTATTAAGAATGTTATAACAGCTTTATTGGAATATTATCTCTTTAATATGGGACATTTGAACATTCCCTGAATTTGAAACTTGTTGTTGTTATATCTTGGGAACAAAGTTATTTTTTATGGGAACACGTCTTTAAATTATAAATGTAAGTTAATAAATAATACATAATTGTTTATACATTTTTAAATATTTAAAATTTACTAAACAACTTTTTATGTACAGACTAATTCTTTGATCACCTTAGCAAATGTTAATTGAAGGATAGTGTGAGCATACAATAAAAAGATATGAAATGAAAAAGAAAAAAAAGGAAATTAGGATCTAAACACATTGTATGTCCACATATATGTTGTCACAGTTTTACAGAAAATACTGTGCATTTGAATCATCATTTACTGGTACAGTGGCCACCCAGCAGAAGTGCTTAAGTATAAAAATTTCACCATGAAGGGTGGGGCCTGGGAAAAATTATAATTGCATCAAAACAATGAAAAGTTGAAGAAAATTCCTATTTTTAAATGTCTATTTTCAAAGAGTAGAACTTAAACTCATTCTTTTCCTTCACAGAAGAATGTCTAAATCACACATATCTTTTTCTTTAACAGATAATTCTGAAATAATCAGCAGAAATGGAATGGAATGCCAAGAATCTGCATTGAGAATAACTAAACATTGTTACTGTACATACTATCCTGTTTCCTCCTCAATAGAATTGCCACAAACTGCATGCTAAATAAAGATTTAGTTCTTCTGGACAGACCACAACTCTAAGGAGCTAGTGCTGCTATATCATATATGAGTATTAAATATGGTATGCTTAGTATATTCCAACCTAAGATAGTTAACTACCTGAGACCAGCTGTGATGTTTAAAGACATAAAGGATCAAGTTTACTTTGAAAAGGTTTCTAAACATAGTTTCTGTCCTAGGAATATTGTCTTATCTCCATAACTATAGCTGATGCAGAAAGTCCAACCAATTTACTCATTTCGACTCAGAATATTTCAAAGTTAGCAATAAACAGATAGCAGTAGTTTAAAACCTATTCCAAGGGCAGGTTCAATTCCAACTCCAATTACTGTCATTTCATTTTCCCACTGGATCAAAGGGTATGTTTCACTTCTTGACACAAATGCTGCAGCAAAGATGAGAAGTGAAGTAAAAAACTGATACCTGTCCTGCAGGTCTAAAATTTGAATGGAAATTCAAGCACAAGTACTGGGGACACATCAAAGTGTGGTATTTTGTTTGCCTGGAGATGCCGTATTGAATCATGTGATTCTAGAATAACATTAACTAGATTGCAAAAGAAACTTTGCACGGTATGAGCTTCATACCCCACCAAACAAAGTCTTGAAGGTATTATTTTACAAGTATATTTTTAAAGTTGTTTTATAAGAGAGACTTTGTAGAAGTGCCTAGATTTTGCCAGACTTCATCCAGCTTGACAAGAATGAGAGGCCCATGTCAAGAGTCTAATCTAATGGATTAGTCTTTCAAACTCACCATCCATTTGCCTGTTACAGAATAACTCTTCTAAACTAAAAACCTAGTCAAATAAGGAAGCTGTAGGTGAGGAGATCTGTATAATATTCTAATTTAAGTAAGTTTGAGTTTAGTCACTGAAAATTTGACTGTGACTTTAATCTAAATTACTATGTAAACAAAAAGTAGGTAGTTTCACTTTATAAAAAATCCATTACTGCTCTGCATTTCAAAAAGTTGGATTAAAGGGTTGTAAATGACTACAGCATGGAAAAAAATAGTTCTTTTAATTCTTTCACCTTAAAGCATATTTTATGTCTCAAAAGTATAAAAACTTTAATACAAGTACATACATACATATTATATATACACATACACATATATACTATATGGATGAAACATATTTTAATGTTGTTTACTTTTTTAATACTTGGTTGTTCTTCAAGGTAATAGCGATATAATTAAATTTTGTTCAGAAGGTTTGTTTTAAAGTTTATTTTAAGCACTATCGTACCAAATATTTCATATTTCACATTTTATATGTTGCACATAGCTATACAGTACATACGTAGTTTTTAAATTATTGTTTAAAAAATGAAACAGCTGTTATAAATGAATATTATGTGTAATTGTTTAAAACATCCATTTTTTGTGAACATATTAGTGATTGAAGTATTTTGACTTTTGAGATTGAATGTAAAATATTTTAAATTTTGGCCTCACAGCCTGTTCTGAAAACTGTATGCACCAACCATATCATTTTTTTTAGAAAAAAAAGAAATTCACCATTTTAATTAATGTTGATCAAAGTCTAATGACTATCTTATATCATTGATTTGATAATCCTATAAAAAAATCACATTCTAAGTGTAATCTTACATAGTGCTTATATTGTTTCATTTGTTTTAATTTGTGGGAAAGTATTGTATCTAACTTGTATTTCTTTGGTAGTTTCATCTTTATGTATTATTGATATTTGTAATTTTCTCAACTATAACAATGTAGTTATGCTACAAGTTGCCTAAAACATTCAAACCTATCTTCTTTTTTCTTTGTTTCTTTGTTAATTCACTTAAACTCATTGAATACATAGTATCCATTACTAAAGGTAAATTATGTGAATCACTGAAATATTTTTGTAGACTAATTGTTGTAACATTGTCTTTATTGTTTTTCTTTTATTTCATGATTTTGATGTTAAAAATCATTAGCACACAACTATTTTCAGCCCTTTAATGAGCATCAACAACATCACCTGTATCCCCAAGAAAATATAGAGGACTGTATTTTTACTATGATATCCATTTTCCAGAATTGTGATTATAATATGCAAAGAGTCATAAATATGCCATTGACGATAAGGAGGAGGCAAGGCAAATGCATAGATGTACAAATATATGTACAACAGATTTTGCTTTTTATTTATTTATAATGTAATTTTATAGAATTCTGGGATTTGAGAGGATCTAAAACTATTTTTCTGTATAAATATTATTTGCCAAAAGTTTGTTTATATTCAGAAGTCTGACTATGATGAATAAATCTTAAATGCTTTGTTTAATTACAAAAACAAAATCACCTATATCCAAGACATGAAGATAGCAATTCAACAAATAATGTAGTTAAGAGATGAACTCACCACTTGTATGGGAACTACATTTCACTCTTGGTTTTCAGGATATAATAGCACTTCACCGAAATATTCTTTTAGCCATACCACTGGTAAACATTTCTACTAAACCTTTCTGTAACACTTAAAGAATTTCCTCACTCATTACCTTACAGTGTAAACAGGAGTCTAATTTGTATCAATTCTATGTTTCGGTTGTAATATTCAGTTCACTCACCCAATGTACAACCAATGAAATAAAAGAAGCATTTAAAAGGATTTCTAATCTTCCTCCGTTTTGTGTTGAGACAGATGGATAATTAGCCAAACGAATTGGTTTTGACATTCACAGAGATAACAATTGGTAACTTCAAAGGAGAGCAAACTCTGGTCTTCAAATGGGAGACTGATAGTTTTCGCTTTTGCTTTTGGCTTTTTACAAATAAGAAAAGCAACTTAAAAGGATCATTTTAGAAGTATCTTTAGTATTCTTTGAAATTAGAAGTAAAAATAAATCCTACACTCAGCCCTCTTCTACAGGATTCTGCCTGAATATGAAGACGTGTGAACATCAATAACCAAATGGGGAACAAAATATCAGTTACAGACTCATACATAGAGAGCAGGCTGACAGCTGTCAGGTTTGGGGGGTTGGGGTGTGTGGAGGGATTGAGCAAAAAAGAGAAAAAACTCATGGACACAGACAGTGATGTGGTGATTGCCTGGGGGAGGTGGGGGGCGGGGCGAGGGAGTGAAGAGAGGTGGAGGAAGGTATGGGGGATAAATGGTGATGGACAGAGACTTGACTTGAGGTGGTGAACACACAATACAGTGTACAGACGATGTGTTGTAGAATTTGTACCTGAAACCTATATAATGTAATCAGTGTCAGTTCAATAAATTCAACAAAAAGGAAAAATATCTATCAGTTTCATTAACAGACAAGGAAGCGCCCAATAATCCAGAAGACAGGCTTCCCACAAGAGCCTGATCAGACAACACGGCTTAGACCTGAGGCTGCAGAATGAGCCAGAATGGGGAGTTCTGTTCTGTGTAGACATCCTAGCCAAGTGGACCAAGGAGAGAACAAGAGCTGAGCATCGTACCTGAGGGAAGGTGTTCAACAAAAAGAATGCGCCTTCTCAGACTTCTTCTTCCTCAGCTGCTTGGGGCCCTGGTATTTCTCAAAGAAGGTGGTATTAGTTTTGGGGTGGGAACGCCTTGTCATGCAAGGGTTGGCAGACTTGCCTCCTGGGTGGTGGGGGAGAAGAAAGTTTTCTCCATGGCAGGTGTAAAGCTTCAGGCCTTGTGAATGGTTTTGATATCCCTAAGGAGAGTAGAAAACACAAACATTCAACAGATCAGGCATCCTATCTAATAATAGAGAAACATGGTAATTGACCATAGCTCTGACACGCTTCCCATTGGCTAATCAGGGCGATATGCAAATTAACTGCCAACCAAGATGGCAGCCGGCAGCCAGGCAGCTGAAGCGAACAGGAGGCTTGCTTGCTCCAGTGAT